CACAAAAACAAAACAATTAGGATTTTTGAATGTCCATTAGAAAAATCTACTCTGAAAAATCAGTGGGTTACACATAATGATATTTTAAGTATTTTGCTGCCAGTGTGCAGTTATTCATCTGGAGCTGCATGGCCCAGCAACCTTGTTCAAGTTATCTACTCATTGTTTGATAGCATCGTAGTAAAGGATCATACTTAGTTTCTGCTCCTTTCAAGGGCTGATTGCAGGACTTTTGTGCAAAGGCCTCATGAGAACATTTCTCTCTCTTTTAGCGTAATGTGAAGACATTGTCACAGGTCATGTTGCGAGAGAGTGAGCCTGCCACCCAGGCAGCTCTTAAAGTTTCCAGTGTAAACTTTCTATGCATGGTTGGCCCAGATTTTTAAAGTCGTTTTTGACAGGAGTTACAGCCGTGCTGGTAGTCCCAGGCACAGTCTTGATGAGGTTTTCTGCACACAGCTTTCTTGGCATTTACATGAAGATGAAGATCACTGCATTTCATAATTTTTGACATAAATATCTTGCTTGGAGGAATATGACTAGTGTTTTCGTCATTTGTTTAATAATCAGAATCATCAGACTTAGAATTGACCTCATGGTGATGGCTGCTGCTGTCACTTCCTTCTGTAGTTCAGTCATGATGAAAGATAAGTCCCACCTCCTCCAGGGCTGTCATCTTTAAATTTTTGCTGGTCATTCATCTAAAATCTGAAAATGACCAACAAATATATTTTAAATACCTTTTTTCCAAGTTTTGAAACTTTAGAATGGGTCAGTTTGGTCTGCAATATAACAGGAGGGTTAAAGCACAGATGCTGATTTTTTTATTTATTTATTTATTTTTTCCAGCTCAGAAGTCACTGGGTCCTGCCGGTGCAGATGAAGCTCTTGTTTGTGTTGTGACTGTGCCTTCCTGCTTTGATGAATTCATTTTCATTTTTTTTTTCCCCCACTGTGTTTTGGCTCCAATTTTCTTTCTCGAAAGTTCAAAATTTATAAAACCAAAATGATTCATTGACTATACTGAATTTCATATTTTTATGCTTTGTCATCATATTGTTCATGTTCATGTTGGTAATAAGTGTCAGGAAGATCATAGGATGTTTTGGCTCCCTTCCCACTAGAGATTATTTTACATATTGAAGCCCCTGTTCTAGTTTTCAGTTTTTGGACAGACCTTTACAAACTGTCTGGAGGCACTCCTGGTTACAGCTTATATGCTACTTGTTCACAATCAACTGTTTTTCAACACTATAATGAAAAGGTTGGTTTTTTTGTATATTTTTTAATATTTATAACAGCGGTTCGAAACTGTTGGAGACCAGAAGATATACTTCCCGATCCTCTCTTCTTAACCCTGCACTCATCATGTAGAGCTGCTCTCTGTGGCTACCGCTGTCAAGCAGTAATGGCTCAATGAGGCCACCTGCAGGTATGAAGGAGCCTAGCGATGCTGAACAGAGATGGTGAAAAAAAAAAAAAAAAAAAAAAAAAAAGTTGCTGCTGCCTCGACGCTGTTTGACCCGTGTTGCAGCCTGAGCGGGACTCTGCGTCACTAAATGAATATGCAAATTACACAAACTACATCAGTCAGCTAGAAACTTCTCAGCAGATCAAACAGCATCCTTATCTGTTGAATATCGATTTAAATTGTAGATTTTTTTGTGTTATTGTTTAATGTGACAAGTGCTGACTAATACTCTTCTTTGTTTACTGAGAGCGGACCTTTTTTTTCCTGATTTCATCGCTTTTGTTCACTGTCGTTGAACTGTGACGATCCCCTCCATCTTTGTCTCCCTATCCTATTGCGCCACACCGTGGAGAAGCCTGGAGCTCCTCTTCTCCGCCGCTCTCTCCTTCCAACATTTTCCAAGCGTGAGCTGCAAACTCCACTAATTGCCCGTGGACTGTTTACGTCCTGTCTGGTTTTGTTTTGAAGAGCGATATGATTATGCTCTCAAGATCCATAACAATGTCATAAACCGCAATCATGCACTTAAAGCGGCAGTCAAGTTTGTTTCTATGTGTGTTCATTAAAGGGAGAGAGAGAGAGGGGGAGAGCGAGGGAGGGAGGAAGTGCACACTAATTTCAACAGTTGGAATTTAGTTGCAGTAATTTACAGTGATGGAATTAGAGGATGTTGGAGGACGGACGCAGGTAAAAGCTGCAGGACGCCAACCACAGATCTCTGCTTCCATCTTGTGGCGGCCCACCGCAACAGTCTCCGCTCCCCTCTCTTTCTTAATATCTGCACCACTGTGGCGAATCTAATCTGGATCTTCTCAAAAGGCAATAAAACCCAGATCGCTTCCTTTAAATGGAAAAAAAGAGAGGCGCCGCTTATTATAGCTTTGAAATCCTCGTTTACGCGGCGATGTGCACGATAGAGAAATGATTCATGTGGAGGTTCAAACGTGCAGGATGACGAGGATCCACGAGTGTCCCGAGTGCACATTTCCTCCAGTATTGCATGGTGGCAAGGTGTATAATAGCGTTATCCACGCAGGTTGAACCACAAGATGCTTGTTTTAAAATCGCAGTGCTTTATCCCCTCAAGCAGCCAAAAGCAATTTCCGGTAATGTGACCCTGTTACAAAGCTGCAGAAGGAGTTCAGTTATTTTCTGCAGAGTTAATACCAGCACAAAGGTGGGAAAGTTGCGAGTTTAACGTTTCCGTCTTGCTTTGTTTTAGGATAAATGCAGAGATTGACTGGATTACATCTGTTCAAATCTGTAGATTTTTTCAAATTAAATCATTTTGCGTTATTTTTTTATATATATCTTTACGGATAATTACCAGATTTTCCAAGAGATGTGCGCCTCACTCAGCAAAGCACCTGTCATTTTTTTTTCACGGAAAAACATCTGTATCTTCCAGATCACTGGATTCACAACACACACACGCACGCGCGCGCGCAAACACACACACGCGCGCAGGGAAAAAAAAATATCAAAATGCAAATGAATGCTCCTAACATTAATCAGTTTGTCTGTAATTGCTCCCTGCATGCAACAAAGTCCTTGCAACTCAGAGCAGGAGCAGAAATAAATAGGACATTTATTTTTGGTTGTTTTTAGAAGAACAGCTGGACACCTTCTTGAATTGAAGTGTCATTTTTTTCCACGTCTTCCTCTGCAAACAGGTCTCAGCGAGACTGACCGCAAACAGGGCCGATCACTGTCCAGAATTAAAAAAATACTTTTTGCGCTACTTTTTTTTTTTTTGTCAGACAATAATCACCCTTTGACGTTCCAGAAAGAGGGGATGGAAGGCAAAGAGAAGGCTGTTGTTGGCATAGCTCTATCAAGGAAGAAGGACTCCCTGTTACGCGTGAATAGGGCTTCTCTTTTTTGCCTCCCCGACCAGAATAGATATAGCACGAATTTTGAATTCGTTTTTCTTTGAGAAAGAGAAGGAGCGAGAGAGACAACAATGCTTTACTTGAGAGCTTGATACAATTTGGAGGCTTGTGAGAGAGATCCTTTTCTCCTCTTCCGAACCCAGCTGCCCATATGGGACGCAACGTGTGCAGCAAAGATCACAATGGCACCAAGTGACAGGCGGGGGACAAAAAGCTCAAAGGATTCATCTCCCTGACTCTGAACAGCACCGAGGAACTCTGTCTATCTGCGCTGTCTGCGACTCCACTCGTGCTGCTAGTTAATATGCACGCCTCTAACATGCAGCACAACCAAGGCCTGCGTCCGCTTTTGTCTTTCGTTTTCTTTGTTTTTTTTTTTGTTTTTTTGTTTTGTTTTTCTTCTCTCTTTTACTGCCTTGTGTACTGTATTGTGTAGCGATGGAGTCAGGTGGATGGGATCCTATGAGGGAAAAGCCATGAATCTTGTTTCACTTATAAGTTTTTAGATTATTATTTTTTAAAAAAAGAGAGAGATTACATCCATTTTGTGCGAGCATCTTTAATCAGCTTTTTTCCCCCTTCTCCCTAAAAACCTTTGGATAGCACGTCTAACAAATGCGCACCGTGAAAATGTACATTTTACGTCAATTTGTTTGTTTGATTAATTATTCTCACCTCTTCTTTTTTTTTAGTACTAATAAAACATCTCATAAAGTTGCTTATTTGTTTGACCTACAAGCTCAACCAGTGTTGAAACAGAAAAGCCTTTTGAGTTTTCCCTGCACACCCCTTCTTTCACAAAAGCAGGACCCCCCCACCGCCGACCCCCATCCTCCAGAGACTGGATTCTGTAAATAATTAGCAAATCTGGCCTAATTTAGCTGTTTGTTCGGTGATGATAGGGGCGAGCCTAACATCTGCTGGTTAGAATTTTGTCCCGGGACAAACAACAAAATGCATGGATTTTTTTTTTCCTACTGGGGTCTTATCATATTTACCCAAGATATTGAGCGGGGTGTGATAATCCACAGTGTGCTTCGCAGTTACCCATTTGCGATTCCCACAGCAAGGAAAACACCGTGTGCTAGTCTGGAATATGTTCTAATGTCAAGTGTGAAATCTAATGCGTAAAAACGATCGTGGGTAAAAACGATGTGTCTGTGGGGAGGGAACCCAAAAAACTTTTACCACACGATTAAACCTCAGATTTTAGTTGTTAAACCAAGACAGCACTCTGATTGCCCCAGCTCTATTTGCAATTTAGCGCTTAATAAGATAACAAAACATTTATTGCATTAAATAATTGCTTTCCCTCCGCTGTATGCCACTCTACAGCCAAGGCCGGGGGTGCCGACAAAAAGGAGTGCTTTTGACTCAAAAGCTTCTTGTGTGGAGAAGCCCACTTATATTAAGTGAGTGGATTTTAGTCCCATTTCACAAGTGACTTTAGGCTCTTTATGGGCGAGGTGTCCGGACAAGGGAAAAAAAATATTCCTCGGATTAAATTGAACTAAATGGGGGGAAAAAAGAGTTGAAGTGCGCTGGAGATTTATTCTCCTTCTGCGCCACAAGCTCGTGTTTGGCTCTCTCCGCCCTTCTAAAAATGAAATCGACGGGACACTTATCAAAAACGAAACCTCATTTCAGTCACATTTTTATTTAAAAGTTATTACTTTAAAAATGAAGATAGTTGTCCATTTTGAACTGCGGCGTCAGCACGCATTATTATTATTATTATTTTACACATCTCACAGCATGTTCGCAAAAAGAAAAAAATAAATTTGGAGATTTAAGTCCCGAGCTGCATCCAAATGCACCACCCGGCTGCAAATATTTACAAGGAAGAAAAACAAAAAAGGCTGAAAACTTGCCAGTTTTTATTCATGGCCATAAATATTTTTTTTCGGTCCATAAAAGAAGCAAGAAATTAAAAATTTTTCATAATTATAAAGTGGTTCGCACGTGCTGATAATAACACGAAGGGACAAAAGGGGGAACAAAAATAATGATAATTAAAAAAAAAAGTAAAACATCTCTACAACCAACACACAACATACTTTACAAAAAAATATGTCACAAGAAGAGCATTGACATTTCTTAATAAAATCTATAAGGGAGAGGTTTGGACCCAGTTCTCTTAACGAAAACATGTAAACACGGCGCACACATGAGCCCCGAATAAAAATGGTAGTAGTATATATATGAGTCAAGCTGCAAAAATGAAAAGTCTTTTTTGTTTTTTTTTTTTCTTTTTTCTTTCTTTCTTTGCGGTGAAACACCCTACAGCCCACCCTCCAAACCAAGTCTTTATAATTTGTTTTTGTTTTGTTTCTCACCAAGTCCACTGTTGCGTTTGCACCAAGTGATGTGCTGTGGGGAACTGCGGTGTGGCCGCGGCGCCGTACTGCGCGTTATACTGCATGTGTTGGAGCGACTGAGCGCTATACGCCGAGAAGGGAATCCCGGCCTGAAAAGTGGCCGCCAAGTCCTGAGCTTTAAGAGTGTGACAAGGCTTCCCATCCCTGACTAAGACGGGCACGGCCACCCGCCGAGGAGAAGGGAGGTGGGTCACTTCCATACCTTTCTCGGCCCGGGCTCTCTTCATCTTATACCGGTGGTTCTGGAACCAGATCTTCACCTGGGTCGGGGTGAGACGGATGAGGCTGGCCAAGTGCTCCCTCTCTGGGGCGGACAGGTACCTCTGTTGCCTGAAGCGGCGCTCCAACTCATAGGTTTGCGCCTTGGAGAACAGCACCCTCCTTTTTCGCTTCTTGCCCGAGTCGCTGCCGCCGCTGCTGGACGTCTCCTTGTCGTTGTCGGGGGATTCGTCGTCCGCGGACGGCTCCGGAGACTTGGCGGAGTCCTGAGAGCTGGCGGACAAACCGTGCACTGCGACAAGAAACGGGAGAAACACTGTCAAAATGTTATGTCGGGAAGTTTTCAGAGAGATTTCTCACAAACACACAGGCCATTAAATGATTAGTAAAGTATTCAGGATGCGTTTTCCATAAGAACTGCGGAGCAAACGTCTGCATGCACGTTATGATTAAGAACTATCAGATCTCCATAAAGATAGAAACTGGGCGACATTTTGACAAAATGCAACTCAAAAAACTAATATCAGTGTGGAGCATTGTTCCAAAAAGGCAAAAATAGTCCAGACTTTCAAAGGAAACAGAGAAAGTCAGTGAAGCGTGAAAGGTGCATTGTCTTCTTAAACGTTATTTCACAATTTAACACTCTGGTTCTACACCAAAAGAAAAAAAAATGATTCTGGAAATAAAGCAGAGACAGAAATTCAATTCAAGCTCCTTTGCTTTTTTTTATTTTTCAATTTTTTTCCCTGTTTATTGTTATTCGAACAGCACTTGCAAAAGCAGAGCGCCGTAAGCCTTAACACTGCATGCATTTTCTAAGACGTGCAGCGCACGATGCATGAGGATGAACAGCGCACACCACCCAAGGGCATCCTTAGGGCGCAATATGAGCATGCATGCAATCGATTATCACTTAATTTACCCGCATTGGATCAAAAATAACAAAGTAATGAGGGGATATATGGCTCTACTTACATGAATATTGAATACTGTCCGTAGTAGCAAGCCATCGTGTGTAGGGATTGTCAGTACTGTCATAAAAGGGGTTCTTTAAAGGTAGATTCTGAACGTTTTCTAGAGGACTTTGCACCAAAACTCCACCGTTTTTCGTCGTGGATGCGGTCTCCGATCCCTCCGTGTCTTCCTCCGCTCCGGTGATAGATCCGTCCTCGTCATTCGTGTCAGGAAGGTCCAAAATGTCCTTTACAGAAAAGCCCGTCTTTGTGTTGGTCAACGACATATTCTGGTAGGGGGGGAAATATGCAGGGAAAAGTTGCTTGCAGCAGCTTTTTTGTCGTAACAATCCGCTGTTGTGAGAATAGGAAGGAAAAAAAAAAAAACTAATAAGGAGAGGGGAAAAAAAAGCAGAGAAAAAATGTGGATGAGTAAGTATCGCTCTACGCTGAAGTACAGTCAAACCAGCCTCTGTGGATAACCATCGCCTATGAGCAATGCAAGAAGCAGCGGATTCGGTCTCTGTAAGTCCAGGAAGGATGCCAAAGTGGCTGAAGTGCTATATGCGGCTCATGGATACTGTGCTACTGCTGGGCGCTAGAGGGAAATAAGCCATTACCTTGTCCTGATCAGTCCATATAAGGTTGGTCTCAACACATGAACCTGCAGTGAAAAAGCATTAAAAAACGCGAAAGGTTGGCCACGTGTGGGCGGGTCTTAGGAGTCAAGTGGATGAAGACAGTGTTTGCAGATGTGAAATTGTGGGTTTTGGGGAGATCCGAGCCTCTACCATTGGTGCTTCAGAGCATGATGAGTGGTATAACGTGTCAATTAATTACAAAGACGGGGAGGGCCTTTTTTATACCCTATTTACATACAAAGAACCTCCAAGTAGCTTTATTCTCACAATACTTAAAAAGGCCCGTTCTAACAAATTGATCCAAGAGAAGCTTTCGCCTGTTACTTTTATATTATAAAAATAAAATAGAAATAAAATTACTCACAACTCCATCATTTCTGAAGGGGAGGGACTATTGTGTTTTAAGAGAAAACAAACAAAAACTAAAAGAAAAGAAAAGGACTCGTTTAAGTAGTGGGTAATTTATGTAAACCCTTTACATCAATATTTTTGCCACAGCTTAGGGCAAGAGGATGTGTTGAAACTAAAACAAGACGCTAGACATGCATTTAAGGCTTGTCTGCAACAACAATAATAATAATAATAATAATAATAATAATAATAATAATAATAATAATAATAATAATAATAATAATAATAATAATAATCAAATATATATTTTTTGTGATGGTTCATATTGTGAAAAAACTTACACATCTTTCTTTCTCATTGCATTTTTTCATGATAAATCTCTCCCGTGTGATATTTGCTTTCAGCCTGTTTGAGTTGCTCCATCTTGCTTCTTTTCTTCCCCCTTGTGAAATCTGAGTATCATTGTTGCTAACTTTATTTTCCTCCCCTCCAAGACTCCCCCCCGCCCCCCCTCCCGTTTCGCTCTCTTCCCTCAGCCTCCCTCATGCAGTAGGGCTATGTGATGTGGGTGACAATGTTGCGGCGTTTTTCAGCAGGTCCTCCGCGCATCCTGGGTGGTCGGGCCCGGGCAAACACAAATACAAACCGATTGCTAAGCTGCAGACAATGGGGGAAATGTAGACAAATGTCCGGCTCCCGTTGGAAGCTTTTGTCCGGCCGCAGTTTTTGCATTTATTTCAGGGCCCGAAATAATGGATGATTGACGCCCCGCGCACAATGCTTCCTAACTGTTTGGAATAAATCTGAGATTGTTCGTAGTTGTCATGGCATTCAACTGCTTTCAATGGACTATCTCTTCATTCAATTCCAGGATCCTTCCACAATATTAAGGAAAGTCCTTCATCTCAACATACACACATATTGCTTGAACACACGGACTTAGGAACACAGACTGTCTCCTTTATGAAAGCAGAAACTATTGTGTCTTTTTAGTTCCTTGTAGCTCAGCAGAATGTCGCAGAAGAGCCAATCAAACTTGGGGAGTTGCAGTAATTTATTATTATTATTATTATTATTATTATTATTATTATTATTATTATTATTATTATTATTATTATTATTATTATTATTATATATTCATACATATAATAATAATAATAATAATAATAATAATAAAATAATAATAATAATAATAATAATAATAATAATAATAATAATAATATAATAATGTTTAGATATTGCCCTCAACCACTCTTTGTTCTCAAAGTAGAGGATGGGCCTGAGGTAAATATTTTACCGGACTTAACAGAATTAATCACAAGTCTCAACATCCCACAAAGACTCCTTTGAGCTGAGCGGGCTGCATGGACAAACTGGAGCTGAGCCTGAGCCTCTCCATGCTGGGGGAGAGAGAGGTTACTGACCTGATCCAGCGAGTAATGCTGCACAGCTAAAATCCGAACTGTGAAGGGACATGCAAACCCACAGCAGACACCCAGGGAGCTTCACGCATCACGGGGGAACGGCCCAGACAGGCAGCATGGGACTCACTGCGTGCACCTCATCAGGAAACTCACTTGGCCCATGCGGGGCTTTATTTCGCTGAGATTTACTCTGTGCCTTAAAAAGTGCGTGGAGCCAAATCAGGGTATGTTTGAGCACGCAGGGTTGTCACCCGTGACATCCCGCGACGGTGACAAGGAAGGAGGTGGGGGGAGTAGCGGTGGGTTTTTGGTTTAAGGCACTGGGCTGCAGACTCTGCTCAGTTGCTGGGGATATACCAAGCTGCTATTTGATCAATTGAGCCGAGGGTTTCCTAAAGAAAAGGTAAATGTGCACTGGCTAAGTGGACGCACTCCACTTGGAGAGCCTATCGCACTGTGTTTACCTGTTTACTTTCGCAGGTAGTTCAAACAGGCCTCTCGCCTCTGTGACAGTGGCCAGTGTGCAGACTGTTTTTTTTTCCTTTTCTTTTTTTTGTAAAAGAGGACGTCTTGACAGGAAATCGCTTCCAGTTTAACATATAAGATATTGAAAGCGCAAAAGCTACATTCAGAGTATATATAAATGTATTTTAAAACGCAACACAGTAACAAATTGTTAATTTTGTGCAAATTGCTATGCATTGTAACAGATACGTGCTGCGTTTCTCATGGCTTTTTTTTTTCTTTTTCACTATTATTGGGGATGGAAAAAAATTGCAGGCAGTCTGCGTCACAGTCTCAAAGTTAAAGTGATTTTGCTGCTATATCTCTGTGAAAACCGTGTAACTCCTCTCAGAAGATAATGCCTCGGAAGGGCCTCTCAGGTGCAGATGTATCAGGATTTAGAGAACAATAAGAGGTGCAAAGTTGTTGCATTATATCACTTCGCTGCAGAAATGTGCAGGACAAAATTTCTCAAATGACTTTTTGCGCAGCAAACTGCTCAGAGTGCATGCACAACAGCAATCTGTTTTTGTTTGTTTGTTTCATGTGCTCATTCCTGCTGTCACTATGCAAAAAAACATTGTTCCCATGTTGATGTTCGCTGCAGAGCAGACTGGATCAGAGTTCAAGCTCGTTGTGTTTCCATTCAATGCAATACTTATTCAATAAAAACAAAACAAAAAGACAATTAATATTTCGGACAAATCCGCCCTAAAAATGCATATAATAATAATAATAATAATAATAATAATAATAATAATAATAATAATAATAATAATAATAATAATAATAATAATAATAATAATAACAGCAACTTGAATCCCGGCTGATTAATTATAATTCCCTCCTAAAAATTCATGCCCACGATTGTTCTCAAATCAGGAAAGAAAGGGGGTTTTATATCCCTGATTGAATACATCTTTCGATTGAAAGCGCAAATAAGAATGCCGCAGGAGGATCCATAATAATGTTGATCAGCGCTTCCCTTTTTAATCGCTGAGTTCCAGCGTGTCGGGACGCCTGAGGCAAGGAGTTGGGCTTTGATAAAGGTAACCCCGCCTGCCTCAGGGCAGCCGTGATAAATGTACAGAGTGACAAGCCCTCCTATGATTAAAAGCCAATATATTAAAGGAAGGTAAAGACGGGTGCTGCTTTATTTATTGCGGCCAACATGGCCTGGAGACACTTTGCTTCAGGGGAAGATTTTATTTTATTTTATTTTTTTACATTTTTATTCCTCAGAAAGCCGACCATTCTTCCCTTCCAGGCAAAAAAAAAAAAAAAAAAAGCTTTATTCGTCTTCCTTTCTATAATGATTAAACATGTCAGTGCGAGATTATGGAGTCGCGCCCATGACCCGAGGAGATGCCTTCATTTGTTAAACCACCAGTTTATTTGTAACGCCGAATTTCATGCCACGCTGAGCCATTCGCCCTAATCTTTCCCCAGTGTGTGTAAAGACGAATTGCTGAAAAAAAGACGCTTATTATTTTTTAATCGCTTCCTTTTTTTCAGTGTCGCACTGGCACTGGCACTTCTAGTGGGGAGGCGAGAAGGGGGGCGACTGAGATTCCTATTCAAAGGGGCAACCATTACTTGTAACAGGACAATATTAATGCCGTAAGAAACAACACACCAAAAAGTATTGAAATGAAATAAAATATTTTCTTCAGGACGGTTTGATGTGGCTGCTTCTGAATGGCACAAGAAACAAGATAACTTATCCTCCTTGTGAGTTGTCTTGTTTGTGAGAGTGGTAATAACATTAACAGCTGTTGACATCTGTAGAGCTCTAGCGGTCTCTACCGGCAAAATTAAGAAACAACAGGGGGTGAACATTAGATTAAACAACTTGAAGGAAACGATACGTCGGTTGTGCAGGCGCATAAGGCAGTAGGTGGTGAGGTTATGGTCATTAAACTGCACAAGGCGCATTATTTGTTTTATGTTTCATCATTCATTTAAAGAAATATCCAGTGGTACAATTTTTATTTCACTAACAGTTATGCAATGCAATGCAGCACATATGCAGCTGGGTTATAAAGACTTGTTCTCCACTTTGGAAAGTTTTCAAAGTACTGAATAAAGGGAAAAAAATCATTCTTCTCTCATTGTATCTGACTTTATTACATCACACAAGGGGGGAAATTGTAACTAATATATTATGCCTTAGTATGGCAGGAAAGCAACTTTTGTTTTAAATTTAGATATTTAAGACATATGATCAACTAATCAAGTCCATAAATCAATTCAGCATTCTCAAATAAAACTGAGTTAAAACGAATGAAAAAGAGAACAAATAAAAATCAAATAGAAAACAATGAAAATGTGTCCAAAAAGACCTTCAGTCTCTTCCTCATGTTTTGTTACTATGCATGTGAACATGGATATGTTTTAGAGGCATGAATGCTAACTTGATTAACTTACAATTTAACAAAATAATCCAGAAACCTGACGCTCATTGTTCTAGGTAACAACCTATCTCCAAAGTAAATTTGATTAATTATGGAAAAAAAGTGAATAATAACGTTAAGGTGCAGTTGCATTTTGAGTTACTTAAATTGTGACTGATCTAAATCACTAAAGGAACTTTTAATGTTGTATTTTTTGCAGAAAGCCTGCTTCTCTTTAATCT